AAAGAAAGAAAAGAAAAATCAATAAAGAAAAAGCATAGAAAAGAAAGAGTAGCTTCCTTCTTTCCTTCCGGCAGAAATGGTGAAATAAAAGCTGGAAATGGGATAAGAGAAGAATAGGTGCATAAAGAAGGGAAGGGGAAGGTGCAAAAGGGGAAACAAAACTGTTTAAGCTGCTTAGATGACATTGATTAGGCAAATAGATGGACGTTGCTGAGTGTTCTGGGAGTTGTAGTCCACACATCTGAAAAGTGCACAGGCTGGAGAAGGGTGATAGAACATTTTTTTTTCTTACTTTACGAATAATTCTTTAATTTACGTTAGTGTGATTCGCCCAGTATCTTTATGCTGAGTTAAGGTACTTTAAGTTTAGAATACAAAAACCTTCTCTATTTACCTCCAATAATTTTATTTTCTTAAATGTCTTATTTACCTGAAAAAAAAAAATAACTCAGAATGTTCCTTTTCTGTAAAAGGTTATCTTCTTAGTGATTGTAAGCCAAGCTTTGCATAATTTGGGGAAACAATAATAAGTAAACTTACTTTATGATACAGTATAACTGCACAATTTGAAGTCATTTTTCTTTCCACTTACAGCATCCGAACTGTTCTAAAACTTTAAAAGGACTGAAGAAATAATTTTTACAACTACTCCACACACCTTTTGGAATAATTGTAATCAAGTTGGAAACTGCATCTACAGTGAAAGAAAGCATTGATCATGCCTTAAAATAGCACATACCAGCTCTTGTTTTTTAAATATACAATGCACTCTTTTTCTATCTTACTGGATCAGGAAATATCAAACTGTAGATTGAACTGTAGATTTACTTAAAAATCAGGAACTATTTTTCTTCTATTTTTTTCTTCTTCTTTTTTTCTTCTTATCAGTTTAGGGTATTTTTGCCCTTGGGACAAAAATCATGATTAAAGCTTATTGCTAACTTATAGGGATATAAGTGTGTTCTTTCTCCTTTTAGGTAATCCAGTTTATAGCATATAGCCATTCAGGAATTCTGTTGTAGTTCTGGTCTGTTTCAATAGAGGTAATGAAAGTCAAGCAAAAGCAAGAAAAGTCTTACTACAACTGTGGATTGCATAATTAGGCTCTTTGTGGTTTTCAAGAACTACGTAATGCTATGAATAAATAACACAGCTCCAAGTTAGACATACTATAGCATTTATTCAATGGGGGGAATAGCAATCAGCAGAAGACCCCCATAAATTAATCCAGGATAGGTTCCCCATACTCATGTATTTCACATAGTTATTGTAAGTGGAAGTATTATACAAATTGGTCCTTGAGAAAATATAAACTTGATGCAAATGGCTATAGCTATAATGGTAGGAGGTTTGATGGTTCAAATTTGACATTCTGACTTATTTGGTTGGAGTGTCTTCTGGTTAAAGTGCATTCTGGAGAAGCCGCTGATACTTGTTCAGAAATATATGTTCCATTCCAGCCTTCTCACTTGTGGCACCTCCCAGTGTGTTGGACTACAGTTCACATAATTCTTGGATTTACCTATGGCATGGTCAAACAGAGTTCCAGAGGACTGAGACATCACTAAGATGATTTCAAAAGCTGTGGTAGAGAAAATCATCCTTCCTTACAATTACAGTGGAAACTATTTCTGATAACTAGAACTCGATTTCACCCTTCCTTCTTATTAAATTGACTGATCCACAGTAATTTTGGATGTAGATTTTTTTTTTTTTGCACAAATAGGCTACAATTCAAAGGTTCCTTATCTTTCTGGAATGTTAAACACGTTTGGAATTGGGGCATTCTCACAAATGAGTTGAAATAGTGGTAGTTGGTTTTACTGCAAACCACCTTTCTGGTTACCAGAAAGGGGATCTGATAGGAAAGAGTTAACTCCATCTCTTCTAAATAGACGTTGGGACCTAAGGCTTCTTATCCCGTGGAGAAAACCCCTGAGCATGGTTCATCTCCTTTATCATAACAAATAACCATAACAAGAAGTAACTGGTAAAGATGGATGGGAATGGAAAAATGACATGTAGGAGAATGGTGCAGTACATTAACCTGTATTTCAACCTTTGGAGCAGTTGAATGCTCTGTCTCCTCCTAACAGAGTGGGACTGTTGAATCCATTGTGCAGTGACCAGAAAGATACTTCAAAGTAAGCGCCAACTACTATTTTAAGTCATTAGAGATAGCTGATATGGTATACTATAACCAAAATCTCAAGAGTTCATAATACTCCGACCCAGTGAGACCGATTTTTGCGTCTGAGGCAGCGAAGTTACTTGCTGTATTTTTATAAGATACGTGGTCTGCTCCATCCCACTCAACAAATGAATCTTAATTTTAGTCCTGCTACCTATTAACTGGGGTTGGACACTCATCTCCCCTGATTTGCTGTTTGTAGGAGACAAACTATTGGCTCTTTATCTCCCTTATTGTACATTCGAGGCAGATCTTAGTAGAATATACACAGGGGTGCTTTCAGCTGGAGAGAGCACCTATTTCCCCAGAACCCGCCGGTCAGAGCTACCAAAGGGCTCACTTCAAGGTAAGAGAGTTCATGGGAGTCTCTAATGAGCTAGAATGCGGCAATCATTAAGATCTTGAGTAATGATAACCTGAGCCGTGTAGGGAAATAATAGATTGGGTGAGAGAGGAGTGCCCCTAAGGGATTGGTGTACATGAGGGTGATCTATAGGCAACTATCATTTTGTTTTCTAAAAACATCTTAGTATTTGCTATGCTTGAAGTTGCTGTTTAAAAAAAAATACAAAATCTAAGAAATGAAAGGGAGGGAACTTGGTGGACAGTAGTGGTGGGCACATTCTGGACTATCATTTAGGGAACCCAGGTATAATTTATGTGACACAGTAAGTATAGGACTCAACTGGCATACGGTACATGGCTCTAATTAGCAGTTCTTTTGATAAAGGGAACATGATAGTGTTCAACTGTCACACCAAGTCACAATGCAGTTTGATTTTTTGGGTTTAAGGGTGTTGTATGAAACCAAGCACTGAGGTTTGTGAACCATGGTTTATAGCTTAGTATGTCATCCAGCTCTGGTTTATTCAAGCCATAATTTAGCATATCAATCTACTTACCCAAAATCAGAAGTCAGCTTTAAAGTACATCTAAAATTTGGTTCTATATGCTGAAGTGCGACTGGTGCTGAGTTGCCACTTTTCCTCCTCTGGCACAATTTCTGCTGCTGCTGGTCCCTAGCTGAACTTCTTGGTGGCTTTCCTGTTCTACCCACTGGTCAAACACATCAGTTGACTTCCCTGGTCTAGTCCCTTTGTTGCTGGTTTCCTTCCTTTTGATGCAGG